AGGAAAAAAGCAATTTTTAAAGGAAGAATGTAATGTTTGCAAAAACAAAATTCATAAGAGATCATTGTATTATATGAAGTAAACCAGGATGACAAAAGCTAAAAGTAGGGATAAATTGCCATTTTGAAATGTCCAGTACCCCTGAGCACTCATTTGAGTTTTATTTTCCTCCATGGCATTTATCAATCCTGCTTCCTCAGCCTCCCAAATTCTGGGATTACAGATGTGTGCCATCACACCCAGCCTAAAAAATAAGACTAGAAAGAAAGAAGATAGGGGCTGGGAAGGTGGCTCAGTGGTAGAGTGCTTGCCTTGCATGCATGAGGCCCTGGGTTCGATTCCCCAGCACCACATAAGAAAAAAAGCCAGAAGTGGTGCTGTGGCTCAAGTGGTAGAGTGGTAGCCTTGAGCTGAAGAGCTGAGGGACAGCGCCCAGGCCGAGTTCAGTCCTCACAACCGGACCCCCCCAAAAAAAAGAAAGAAAGAAGATAAACATTTTTACAGCATTCTGAAGTCCACAGAAAAATTATGTGAGAAGTATGTAGAGTTCCCATATAGCTCCTACCTGCTACACAATCACCCCACTATAGAGATCACACATCACAATGGCACATTGATGAATCTACAGTGACATAAAATACCTCTCACTGCTGTGATCCACTCCATTTACTAGAAAAAAATCTTTTATAAATAATACATAAACATGTCATATATATATTTACTTGACATATGTTTCTATTTAAGTACATTGTTGCTATTGTTACTTTGAATATAGATCAATAAAGAGCAAAATAAAGAGCAAATTAAGAGAAAAATTAAGAACAAAATAAAAGCTTTTACTTTACTTTTACTTATTCATTCTACCATCCTTTTTATCAGAGTTTCTGAATCATTTACCTTCTCTCCAAAGAGCTTCACTTAAAATTTCTTTCAAGGCAAGTCTGCTGATGACAAATTCCCTCAATGTCTATTTGTGGGATAAAAACTATTATTTCTCCTCAATTTTAAAGGATAATTTCAGAAAATATAGAATTCTCAGTTTTTTTAATTAACATTTTCAATGTTTCCTACTATCCTCTTCTTGTTTGCATAGTTTCTGAGAAGTCTGCAATTTTCATCTTTCCTCCTCTATAAGCATAACTAAAATTTGTTTTCCTCCTTTGGTTTCTTTTCAGAATGTTTTATTTATCTTTTATTTCCTAAAGTTTGAATATAATGTTCCTAGGATGGCAGGCATTTATGTTACATGGAGTTCTTTGAGCTTCCTGAATCTGTGATCTGGTATCTGGCATTAATTTGGGGAAAAAATCTTGAAGTATGGCTTTTATTCCTTCCTGACCTCAGTCCTCTCTAGACCTGAAAATAATTGGTAGGACTTTTTTTTTTAGCTCTTGTTATTAATGTGGTATGGCCACTTTAAAACTTCTTGCACAATATCTAGTATATGTATGAGTCAAGTGGAAAAGGTCAGATAATGTGATGTTAGGAAAATGAACCCTTAGATATGTATTTTAATGTTTTTTTCTTTCATGCATGTGTTTCTAACGCA